AGGCAATAGATGACAAGGAATGTCATTTATGTTGTAACACTCAACTACAACTTGATGTCATCTTTAGCATTAACAGTTCTTAGTGTCATTCTTAATCTAATCCCAAATCCTAAACTATACCTTAACTTCACCGTAGCGCTAATCCATTAAGTATTGGAGTTAAATTTAGAGAGAGAAGGGAGGGGAGTGAGAGAGAGAAGGGAGGGGAGTGAGAGAGAGAAGGGAGGGGAGTGAGAGAGAGAAGGGAGGGGAGTGAGAGACACACATAGAGAGAGGAGGGGGAGAGAGAAAGAGAAGAAAAAGATACGTCTTAGAACGAGACAATGAAATCACGTGATTGCAACTAAAAAAAGAATCATTAGAACAAACTTTGTTAAAGTAACTTCACAGCTGTCAGGAATGTTTGTTTGATTACCTGCAGATTAAAAAGTTGGAATCCTATTCTCTACCGTTCAATCCTAGTCCGACATTTCAACTGAACTGAACATTTCATATTTCGATCTACCAGCATTGGATATTTGTTATGTGTTCAACATTTTAATTTTACCTTGACCCCTACAGTCTTATAGTTCTGAAGCCATCTCTTACTGTCCTATTACTGTCGCTTCCTAATGTCAACTGTCACAAATAATAGTCTTATGTCAATAGAAACTGCAAGACGCATGGCCACTCTGTGTCGCTGACATGTGTAGGTCTTAATGCTTTGTTTTTCTATTGATTAAATAAATCCCAGACATATGGGTCACTTTAAACAGTCGACATTTTTATTTAAAATTATTTCAGCAATTAACAGTCCTGCACCTTTATTTAATGCTGCTATGTATTGCCCCCCCCCCCCCTTTTTTTTTTTCATTTTTACTAATATATAAATTAGCAAATCTTTAGTCAATAACGACTTTATATTGTCATAGATCTACTTCGCATGAAATGCACTTTTATGTCTCTTTCAAACCTATGCACTCTTGGTAAACCTAGCTTACAGAGTTATCCACACTGCTTTGATTGTTCGGTGACATCCCTACTCACTCGTTCACTTGGTGCCAGACGACACCAAAGTGTTGCGCTGTGACGATCTCTGTTGTAGCTTGTCTGGCCCTCACACTGTCAACGAATCTGGGTTTATCATTGACTCTGTTAGCAGTTGTTTGTTTTGAAAATATTTGGAAGTCAGTTGGTTCATAAATAATATTATTGTTGGTCACTAAACACTTCATGCGCAACAGCCGACATACATTTAAGTGTTCAATATATTAAATAGATCTCAAAGCAAAACCTTTACAAGCCCAAAAACACAATGGAAAAACTGTTATTTCTTTTATAAAAACAAAAATATGTCTATTAACAATGTTGCCAGATTTATTATTCAAAGTGCTCTACTGTTAAAAAATCATATAACAATACTTTTCTACTAGGCTATCGGTTCTGATGCTGTTATATTCCCTAAGACAAATAAAAATAAAAGAACGGGTTGGACTTTTATTGTGGGTAGTTGTTTTTTTTTTTTCATTATTAACTTATTCAGCGAATCCAAGGTAAGGTGTTGATATTGTTACATCTATGCTCGCTAGAGATAATTGGTGTCAGTGAAAACTCTGACTAGTCATTGAGCTTTACTTTGAATCATTCAAAGTTGGCAAACATTTTTACAAAGCTTATATCAACGCACTCTGCCTGTCTGTCTGTTTGGTTAAAAAAAACTGTTGTTTATTTCTCCCATTTCCCATTCTCGGATCAAGTTAAAACTTTGCACAATTATTCATTAAACCTCACATGACATGAATCAATAAAAAAAATTAACCAATTAGTTAATTAATTGTTGGTGATTAATTATTTTGTTTGAAATCGAAATAAGGGGAATAAATGCTACTTAGTGAGAGATGTTTTGTTTATATGGATTTAATCCCCATATTACCCTACGTTTTGATACTATTTCTGCCCGATTCCCATTCTTGAATCAAGTTGAAAATCGGCATAATTATTCATAGGCAATGACAATACACGAATCAATCCAAAAATTAACCGTTTAGTTAATCATTTAGTACTAATTAATTAATTTTGTTTTATATAGCTGAAACCATGTCATTTTCCGATAAATGGCAGTAAATTAGCGGTTCTTTATTTTAGATAAGTTTTGTATTTAAAAAAGTATTTTTTTTTGCTATTGCTTGTTAGAGTATTTAATCTATTGTGTTTATGTTTTGGCTTCTGTTCTTTGATATCCTGTTAAAAGTATTAAACACAGGACATTGTTGTACTATCGATATACGAAATAAGCTCTTTAATGAGAGCTACTCATTGAAATAATTTCGTTCAAGAATGACCGAAAGATACATTGCATAAAATTGCATGGTATTTGTTTCCCTTCTTATTGCAATAAAGCTGTTTCTTTATGCTGCTTTTATATTACATTCTCAAGGAACTAATCTTGTTCTTCATACACATTTCGGTATGGTCTCACACGTTGTATAGGAAATTTTATTTGACACTTATAATACATTAAAGGTTTTGCTTGATATTAATAATATATTAAATGTTTGGCTTGATGCTTATAACATATTTTGCTCTGGCTGTTGTATCTCATTTCAATCACATTTTCCCAACAGTTCTCTCCCTCTTCCTTTTTTTTCTTTCATAGTTTAATAAAATTGCATTTTTTTTTTGTTAATTCTTCTTAATCCTTCAATTTAAACACATTCTAAATCTAATTCCATCCTATTGTCTAAGCATGCTGTTAGAACACAAGATATGCAAAAACACAAAATACAGATTGCCAACCTCACTGTGGACTTTCATACAAAACAATATTTAGGCTAGGGCTGTAATTGCTGTCTTTAGATTGCCATTATTATTATCATCGCATTTAGTGATTATCTTTAATTCCGTTTTTTTTTTTTAATTCAAGTCTAATGGTTTTTAACTTTTCAGAAATCGTCTGCTACTCCAACTTTTTCAACCATTTGATGTTAAAATAACGTTGTTTTTTTTTATTATTTTTTTATTGACTCACTGGAAATTGATTGAGTTTTTTTTTTAAATGCTGACATCAATTTTTAACAAAGCGTCTCAATACTCTGTCTGAAGACTGTAATTTAGACAAATGGCGTGTATGTTGAATATTAAGTCTATAGGACTACTTTTTTTTTTTAGTCTTTATTGGCTCTAAATATTCATAAATCTGGGGAGCCCCAAAACTTTGTTAGATTCTATTAACTGTCAATTTTTAAACAGTTTGAAAATAGAAAATATCATTAAATAAAGCTTGTGTTTTGGTGGCACGCTTAGACTTTCCGACGTTGGCTTTGAACCAAGAGACACCACAATAACAACAAAACTCTCATCAGACTATAAGATGCACAACTTCACACCTCGGAGTCAAACTGTGGAATAAAATATTGATAATGTCAAACACTTGCGGTGCCCGGCAGACCCCCACGTCGTCTGACTGCTGGTGAGTCAATAGCGGTAAAAACTCTGGGAGGGAATCAATGGACGGGACTGCTTGAATACTCGGCTCTAAGTCCCTTGATGACCGCTTTAAGATAGATATGTTCCAAGCCAAACTTACCTCATAGGGTGGGCCTAAAGCCAACTCCTCCCACCTCTGTGATTTCTATTGGTGGACTGAGTCAATGACTTGAGGTTTAAAGTGAAGTGAGCAGTCTGGGATTAAAGTCAACTCACGCAGTTTACAAATCATTAATTTCTAATCTGTGACAGATTTATCTTCTCTTTCTTTCCTTTTGTTCTAATCTTAAGCTCATAATGTGAATGGATTACTAACAAATGAAATTGCGTTAACACAGCAGTTGAGGTAGTCACACACACACACACATACCAAGAGAACTCCCACTGAATATAAACACATACGTAGAGAGAATAATGAATTAGGGACGTAAGTGAGACAAATATAGAATGAGATAAGGCAAAGAGAGAGAGAGAGAGAAAATAAGAAGAGAAAAAATACAAATATATTAATATCGGGGTATTTAGCCTCTATTAAGCATTATTCACTTTCAAAATTCATTTGCTTACTTATGTTATATTGAGAGTTTGGATGGCCAAGATTTATATAAATACTACTAGTCAATGTAAAGTGAAATGTTGGGTTTTCAGTTCCCCCCTTCCCCATTTTTTAAAAAATGCTTGATATTTCTCTTATTGTACATTTAATGTGTCAAACTATTTTTTTTTCTATTAAAACAACAACGAAAGACTATGTTACTTTAACTCATTGCTTACAGACAAAATTAAGATGCCTTTCATATTTATAAATAATGGCTAAAGTCCAACTTCTACATACTCACCTATTCAATGCTCTATTTAACTAGTTGGTTACAACTCTACAGGTAGGTCTTATTTATACACGTAGCTTCTATTATGCATGTATGTTTTAACCAAGGTCCTTAATGATAGTTCTATATTCACATGACATTATATTGACTATATCAAGTAAAGAGGTAGTAAAGAATTAGCCTATTACTACTATTAGATATCAGTATATCTTTAACTTTAAATTATCTATTATCTTATCTGTATTGTAATTGTAAGCTCTGCTTCTAGCGAAACTCTTTCCATACGTAGGCCCCATTTTGGCTCTATGCCATCTGTATAGGCCTACCTAAAAAAATGTATCTCTTTAAGTATGTTGTACCTGTAAGGGTAGAGGTTTTATTGTTTCTTTGTCATGTAGATAGATGATGGAGAGACGGCCTAGAAATGAAAATATGTGTTCGTGATTTACTTTAATTGTCACTTCTGCATATGTGCAGGCCTGTACTACACCACTTGCAACTTTTGACAGACATCAGCCTTGCTACATCATTACTTCAGTCCAAAGATACAAATTCTTTAACCATTTAAATACAATTTTTATAATCAGAGATATTCTTGTAATTAATCTGGTTGAGTAGCAACATTGTAGGCCTATAAGCATTATTCACTACCTTTAGTAACTATTCAAAAGCAGAAGAACTGTGAGTCAATGACGCTATCTATGTTTTCATCCGATTATTTTTTTAGTTTATTTTTTTTTAAATTGCCAAACATTACCTAAAAATAATTTTAAATATAAAAATATCCAATTATTGCTATAGAAATACTTCAATAATGGCTGGTGAAGTCAGCCAGAGATTTCCACAGAAAAATATTTGTAAAATTTGCCCATTCAACCCTTTGAAAAAGTGCAAAATGTACAGAAATCTTTTATTGTCATATCTTTTAGTAATCACAATGGTTTCAATGAACAAAATAACACTTTATATATAAATTGAACATTAATATAGGTAGATAGGTAGAATTTGGTCTGTGTAGAACACCTGAGGCACCTCAGTTGATTTGGGAAAGTTGAAAGAATTTCAGTTAGGCCAGAAAAATTTAAAATCTAAAACTTTTGGTGAATTCTAAATCAGTCAATTAAACTGCATAGCTCTTTCATTGATATTTTATTTTCCAATATATGATAAAACATTCCATGTTTCCAAGATGAACTTTTTTCTTGCAATAAGCATTGATTCAAAATGAAATATCTACTAAAGAGATAGGCTAATCAGTTTCATTTAATTAAATATCTAATAAACAGATAGGCTAATCAGTTCAGTTTAATTAAATATCTAATAAACAGATAGACTAATCAGTTTCATTTAATTCAATTTTCTGGTTGCAGCTGGTAGTTGATGACTAGCTGTATTGTTTATCCAGGAGGAATTATTTTTTGCAGTGTAACTTCTTGGAGGAACTTGAGGAGGCTGGGGAGTGGAAGGTCAAATATTTGTCTGAACATAAACAAAATAGAGGCAAATAAACTTGTTACAATAATTATTTATTTTTTTTTTGCTTTCACTGAGTCTGAAAATTTTAAAAAGTTGTTTATAGCCTTTGATTTTTAAAATTTACTTCTAAAGTATTAAAGTACTTTCCACTCTATTTCTAATTCAATGAATTTACATTTTACATATATACAAATCAACATCTTCCATTGTTTCCAGAGAGTAGATAAGTAAAGGTTAAAGAAAACAATTTCTCACAGTGTTCTCTATTTCAAAATAAGTCTGGGAACCAATCAAATCAGAGTAGTCACATTCCCCAGAGTTCTGAGGATATAAGAAAAAAATATAATTAATGGAAAAATGTAATATATAAAAATAGAATTTTAAAATAAAAGTAATAAAAGGAATTTTGTTTAACAATTGTGCAGTAAAACATAATAAACATTGTAAGAGCAGGCAAAGTATGTCATAGCACACAAAATATATGTTCATACCATGGTCTTATATTAAACATTACATATTGAATTTACATCAAAAAGTTGTATTTCATTAGTGATTTATTGCTAAGGATACAAATTAGCATAGCTACTATGTAGTATATCTTCTTATCTTATTGATTACAGTTACTTCAAAAAAGAAGATGATTACGTCTGAGATAGAAATGGTATCTAAGAGCTAATTTAAAAAGAATAGTAACAGTAGGCTACTAAATAATTCCCATCAACTGGATTTAATTTATATCAATATTATATTAGCCTGACCAATTTTTATTTGCCCTTTAGTTATCCATTATATGATCCAAGGATAAGAAAAATTAATTAATTCAAATATTTGTTAAAAGAAATAAGTGGTCATAATTCTTACCTGGCCACATGAAACAGTCAAAAAATTTTGCCAATTTGAAAGCTTATTCTGGAAGAAAAAAAGAGATCTAGCTCTACAAGTTTTAAAAACAGCTTTAATGTTCTTGATTATCAATAACTAATGATAAACACAAGTTAAACAAAATAATGAATTCATTAAAATAGTTGTTAATGTTTCTTAAGTGAATAAATTTAACTCAAGGAAAATGATAAATCATTGAATTCAAGTATAGTGTTTTATTACACAAGCATATAATTTAAATTGATATTTGTAATATAGAAATAAACAACAGACTTTATTGTTTTATGGGAGAAGGATAATATAACAGAAAAATAAAGTAAAACAAACATACCGGGTATAAAAATAAAAGTTTCAATACCTTTTTATAGAATGAGACTAAGTCATGAAGAGAGCGGTGAATTTTTGTTTCTCCAATGATAATAAATTTTCTGTTCTTGAGTTGCTCTATAATATAGTGGCGACACCTGTTTTCAGCCCTAAGATTAGAATATTTCATTCCACAAAACTGGACATGTTGTTACCAGTGTATTTTATCATAAGGGGATCAATTTTAATTATTGCTACTTGTGAATTAACTAAGTCAACTTTTTTTTTTTTACTAACAATAAATAAATCTTTAAAAAGACAAAGTCATTAAAACCATAATTGTGGAAATTGTCATTAAATAATTTAGCCACTTACTTGAAAGATAATGTGTAACCAAATCGACTTTCACTGACTCGAATTAGAAAACATCCAATGAGTTTATTTGCTAGCAGTTTCTCTGCATCTCTATAAAATACAATTAAAACATTATTGTGCTACCCCTCACTTAGACTCATATTACATCAATGAAACTTTGGCCAGGCATTCCATGCATTCTATGCCATTTTTGAAAACAAAAACATTTTTTGTTTATTACTGCCATGGAATGCAACTACAAATAATGGTTGATGGTACATTACCTTAATTATGTTTATTTGAAATTTCTATTGTATAAAAATAATGTTTTATTATGAATGGTGGGGGTAAATAAAGAAACGAGAGTGACGCGCTAAAGAAGTGTAGATGTAAATAAGCAGAAAAGCTATTTGGGAGACAAATCAAAGACATATTGAGACAACTCCATATTATTAAATGAAGAATAATGGTAAAAAAAAAAGTACAAAAAATATATAAATAATATACAATTTGATAAATGACGAAGATCAGAATTCCAAATTATTATTAAAAAAACAACTCACTATACTAACTTTCCCCATAGCGAAGTGTGGTTTTAGCTATTATTATTATAAATTCTTGAGTTCATATTTAACTGTAATAAAAGCTTATTAAAGCTATAATTACCTTCTGGAAATAATTCCATGAAACCAATCTTGAAACTTGTCTTTTTGATTGTCTCTAACATTATGAATCTGGGTTTTTCTAAACCATTCTTTAAGTGAAAGTTTTGAGTCAGCAGGTCCAAACTTGGCTGAATTTGGAGGTGTTGGTGGAGCTGGTATATCGTCAAGAAATTCAACCTAATTTGTGGTCAACATCAATCATTTGCATTTGTTCAAGATACTAATTTTATCATTTTATCACCACTTTATAAAATCTATAGGTATATATATAAAAAAAAAACATGTCTAAGAAACTAAATTTTTTATTATTTTTTAAAATCCTCTAAATGCTTATTGGTCCATTTTTTAAAACAAATTTAACTTACATCTGGCGATTCATCTGTGAAATAAACAATTGTATCGAAAATTAATAAATTAGGATTGTTAAGTTGGACATTACCATATTTCATTTTATTGAAAAGAAGAATAATAGCTATGTTGAAATGAAATATAGTTGAAAATCTATAGTTGAAATCTATTCTTAACCTAATAAGCAGCCAAGGACTTAAAAGCATGTTTACCAGTTGCAAGACAAAATACTTTTTAAAATTATAGTATGAGTTTTTTTTATCAGGTTTCTTACCAAAGTTTTTAATATGTTAAATACTTAGTAGCATATTTTATAATCTCTAAAATGTTAGACTAAACAAGGCAACTAACCAACATCTCAATGAATGATTGCCATAATGATCAAAAAATGGTGTATCATCTACCCAAAATACTATGTATTGTAAAAAAAAAAAAGTTGCAGGTCAGTTGTTAATATGTTTAATACTACATAGTATTTGTTGCTTTACAGTTGATTTGTTACATTTTAGTGAACAAAATTATTGAAGCCTGTCATACATCATTTGAAAATATTAAAAAAAAACCTTGCTTAACCATTATAGTTATCAACTTTGAGCAGACTACTGGAGTTCTTCCAGAACACAGTTTGGGTTGTTTTTAAAATAATTTGCTAGTGATGTTTAAAAATATGATTAATTACCTGACTTAGCATTTTGTAATTCAACAACCTCAAACACGCTCCTATTGTCTGTCTTGGAAATAGTTGCTACAGATGTTGAAGGTAACTCTGTATACCTTCCTAGCAAAATGTTTGCTTGCATTGCTTCTATTTTGTCTTGCTCTAGTTTAGCTGCCAGAATCTTTTCTTTCATTTTCTTGTATCTTTCTCTTTGCACAAAGCCACGCACAACTAAAAGTAAAATGATACTTCAAATGAATTATAAGTTTGAGAATTTGAAGACAAATGTCTAAGCTTCTCTCTTCAAATTTTGTGGAATTTTTTTCATTAACTTCTAGGCACTGGTTAAAGTGAAAAAAAGGATTTATTTGCAAACACCAGGGTAACCCTAAGCTACACCTAACTCTTACCCAAACACTTAACCTAATTCCTAACTCTAATGATTACACTAATCTTTCCAGGCCCTAACCAGAATCCCTAATCTTAAACTAACACTAATCTCAACTTAAATGGTATGGAAGCTTTAATACGCACATTACCTGGGTAAATTAGAAATTCTAATTCTCACCTCGCTGCATGTGAACTACAGAATTTATTCGTTCATCTAACATTTGAGTCAATTTTTCAACATGTTTGAACTTCAGAAAAACTTTTGATTTGCTGTAAAACAAAAAAAAATTGTGTAAAGAGAAGTTAAACAAAGGATAGCCAATAGCTTAGACATTGTTAAATTTTGTGGGCAACATGTACAATTATTAGCACGTAAAACATTATACATGCTAAATTATTATTTTAATACAATCTATATTAATTAATGCAAAGGCATGGTGGCTGAGCAGTAAAGCGCTTGGCTTCTGAACTGAGAGTCATGGGTCAGGATCCTGGTGAAGACAGGGATTTTTAATTTCAGTATATAATTAATGCAGTAGTTTTGTTTACATACCCTATACACCAACCACTGAGAAAACTTTTTTTTAGAATTGTGATGCAATTATCTACTGTTTCTTTCATCTGATAATCAGATAGTATTTTGTACCTGAAAAAACATTCATTGGTTATTAGACAAAAAAACAAGTGTACTATATGCTATAAATAAATGTTGGTATTTTGTTAATCAATAGCCATCTTACTTTTGTATAAACTGGCTAAATGTAGGTCGGACTGCAAACCCTCGCCGGCGGATCTCTATTGTTTGTAACATTCCAGTATACAAGAGCTGTAGAAAAAAAATAATTTTTATTTTTATAAAAATTTTTGTCAAAAGTGTCAACATTTAATTAAAAGTCAAAACTCTACTAGACTCAACATGAATTGAAAAAATTAAATAAATTGAAATTAAAAATAAATTGATTCTAATAAAAATCAGATTATTGGTGTTAATGCTTAGGAGAGATGACTGACACTTTGCTCTGTTGTGTGTTGTGATATGTTATAATACTTTCTATACAAAGGTTGTAAAAATGATTACAGTTATCTTTTCTGTTTTGTGATTTTCTGTAATATTTATAAATTTAATTCATTTGCTTCGGTATATCCTTCCCTTCCTCCTCAACAGAAATAATTAATTCTAAAAACTGACAAGCTAATACAATGTAGACTAATATTTTAAGAATGTAGAAACATTAACTTTCAACTAACTTGGTTTCTTAAATATTCTGGCTCAAGTCTC